TAGCACAGCCACAAGGACCGTGCACCCCGTCGCATCCAGCAGCGACCAACTGTCTTCTGGAGCCAGTGTGGACGAGGTAGTGGGTAATAGACAGGCAGGCAACTTGTCAATTTGCATATCAAGCGCGACCCCACCGGGGATATCAAGCAACAGCCAATCATTCGAAACGACGAGATCAAATAAAATAAATTGAATGATGCGTACAGATACGGTGACATCAATCTCCACTAAATAAGTATGTGAAATAAATTGGTTATGAACAAAGTCGCGATAACATATAGACGGTAGCGAATATATTTTAAGAAAAGGCCACAAACGCGAAAATGTTATCGAATTTAACTGCAATTAACTTACGCGACGTGTGCAGGTTTATGGAAGATAGTACAGGTAGACATTAACATGAGACAAAAAACACTAGAACAATATAACAAACGCACCACCTAAAATAAAGTCACTCAGCATGCAAGCACGCGGTTAGTAAATGGAATGCAGCGTACCTACAGACGCTGTGCCGATTCTGTCTACATTCTCTGCAGGACCGGTCATCGCTACGCTGGTGGCCCCGACTGGCCTCGATCATGGCTCACTAGGCTGCCTGACTCAGGCACTCGTCACCGCATGGGCTACAGCACCATGCGCTCGATGTCGACGGAGTACAACACATCGACGCCTGTCGCTTCCGCACTTGCCGCTTCTTCCCTTCTCTTGCACGTCGGCAACTGCCTTCCTGATCAGATCGCGCCATGCACGCCGATCAACCGCTTTCCATTCCCATGACCTGCAAGCAAGATTAGAACCTGAGTGGCTCACTTTGATCACGTCCTGATAACGTAACTTCGGTTTCCCCACCTGCCGCTTCCCAACACCCAGCTGACCGTATAAAAGTTGTTTCGGTATCCGCGTCGAATACATACGGCTCACATGACAGAGCCACCTCAAGTGTCTCAGTAAAAGTATGCAGTCCACTGCATACATGCTACTTTGACGCAATACTTCCGTGTCTGCAACTCTGTCGCACCAACCGATGCGCAGAATCCGTCGCGAACACTGCTGATGAAACCACTCGAGATATCGCACATCCCGACGGTACATCGTCCACGTTTCACTGCCGTATAGAAGAACGGACAGCACCCTGGATTTGTACAACATCAGCTTCATGCCAATGGTAAGCTGATGGTGGTTCCAGACCCGGCATTCTAGCTTCCCGAATGATCGTCGCTGCCTTCGAGACGCCCATACGAAGCTCACTGTGCAGCTGCTGATCAGTCGACATCACACTCCCAAGGTAGCTGAAGCGGGAGGTGGTTTCCAATACTTCAGCAATAAAATGCGGATTCGCCGCATTATTGAAGATTGCACCTCCGGTGAAGGCTGAATGAGACAGACAGTTTTGTGTGTGTTGGTGGGGTGCATGAATTTGGCCGCTATCGAAGCCAGAGCACTAGCCATGTGCTGCAACTCATCCGCGCTGTGTACAAACAACGCACAGTCGTCAGCAACCAGCAACATACGGATAGTTGTCTCACAGACTAGAGTTCTCGCACCTAAACAACGGATGTTCAGCAACCCACCATCAGTACGGTGCTCCACACGAACACCGTAAGCACAAGCGGCATCAAAAGCACAAGACGACATTGCATGAAGATATATATTAAACAGGGCAGGAGCTAAGACACAGCCTTGCTTCACACCAGAGACAACTGCAAAGTCATCCGAGGTCTCTGCACTCAGCTGCACCCTCGCTCGCATACCACTGTGCAGACATTCAATTAAACTTACAAACTTACGCGGGCAACCAAACTTACCCAACACCAGCCCCAATGCCTCGCAGTTCACCGTATCAAATGCCTTGGTGAAATCAACAAACAGCGAGTACAACGGTTAATGTCGTTCCCTACAGTTTATATATATACATATATGTATATGTATAAAATAAAGTATTCTCTACTCACGAATATATCCACATCCGCTTGCACCACGACTGAGGCAATCCCAAAAGAATATGGCGAAAAATAGATGAATGGGAACGACGCTCATTACAGTGTCAACTTTTACTCACTTCTATGGTTTGAGGAGTTCTTCTGAGGGTATCTGCTAACCTGACGTGCTCCCAGGGATTGAAGTGACAGGTGCACCGTTTAATAACACACGCATACTTCGTGCGTAATTGAAGTGCACAGGATCGGTGACAGCCCCTGGCAAGCTCATGAAAAAGTGTGAACGGGGCGGAAGCGTGCGATGTAAACACGGTGCGATGATAGAGCAAGCAGCGGTTCGCTCCGTTATGTAGTCAGCTTTTCACCTTAGTACTGCCACATATACTATCCGCTTCAACTTTACGATAGAAGATCAACAAACACCTGGAATCAAACAAATAGTCTGTGCTCATCCATAAATCAGTGATACATGCGGTTGATGGACCAGTTGAGCAGCTCTCAACAAATGAGTACCGTTTGTTAAATTCTCATTGGTCTTCGCTAACAACAGGTCGAAAAGTCTGTCGTTCCGAGACAGGCGGTTTTTTCAGCGAAGGCAACTCAGTGAAAAGCCCAACACGTCTGACCCGCAGGTCACGACGAGTTACATTGTCCAGGACAGATGTGTCCAAAGTTCGGCTCTCGTTAACATTTCAACTGGCCCGCGGCCTCACCATGAAGTAATAAATTGAGGCTTGGACATTTTTGTACATGTGTACTTTGTGTTATTACCTTAATGTCAGACTGAATTTGGCCCGACATATCTTTACCTCACAAAGTGTGGTCCTCTTTGAAAAAGTTTGGACACCCCTGGTCTAGGAACTTCTATAAACAACGAGGTCTTTGGACTGATGAGGTTCCTACTTTAATTGTTAACCAAAGGAAGAGGAGCCCAGCGCAACGCCCTCGAACTTCGGCCAATCAGTGCAGCTGACGACTACGCCTGCTGCGTCCAAGGATCAAGTCTGTCCGTTTAGTCTCCTTGTATCCATCTGTACAGTGCGAGCGGACACTAACATCACCTCCGCCACCAGCAGCCGTAGGTGGTGTGAAAACAATTGGGTGTATGTTCTTCAGTCAGGCACAAAGAGTAATGTGTCTCCGTATGGTTTGACATAGGTTTAACGCAATTTCCCGTTGCTGACGCGTCATAAAAAGCACAATGTCTCAACAATGATAAGGTAACGAGCAATTGTTTCCGTTCTGAGCACAGGCGCATTGTGGTTGCAAACGATCTTGTGTGAAACATTCAACTGATGCTTTCATGCTTGGTGGTACCACAGACGTAGATTCGGGTTAAAGTAACACCAGATTTCCGTTGGTCTTTAAGTGAGAAGAACGTCACAGCAGCACTGTGTCGGTACTTTGCAAACACTACTGGATCTATTCACTGAATTTCTGGAGATTTACTTTTCCTTACGGTTGGAGAATATGGAGAAAATAAAACAGAGGTGTCCCAAGTCCTTGCTACCTTTTTTATGTCCTTGCTACCTTTTTTATTTTTCTGTCCTTGCTACCTTTTTTTATTTTTCTCGCCTATGATGTGAACAATAACCACTCCCCTGTTGCTTTCTGTGAGTACATTCTCATTTCAAACTCCCTCTATACAACAGTGCAGTTACATCTGTAAGCACCCGAACAGAAGACTCCATTATCCCTTCGCTATCTTTTTTTGTCACGCTAAACAACCTACGGGACATGTCAAGCACCTGCTTTTTTACCCGTTATAAATCATTGTTCATTGTTCATTCATTGAACTCAGGCGACTGCCGTGTAACCCTCCAAGAGTTAGAACAAAATCGGAGCAACCACCAAAATCAGTTATGTGTAAAGCAATGCATCGTCTATACTGTACACAAATAAGGAGCGCTATTTAATTACAACGGCATCACATGGGCTGCTATTTATTTTCGCTCCTCCCTCCGTATGTTTAAGCTCACTGGTCCGTACGTTCTGCCCATTTCCACCCCTGTTACTGCGTCCGCTTTTAGTCATGCTTGAGCAATCTGTTCTCCTTTGTCTGTCAGACCAGAGCGAACCCCTTGTCCGCTTGCGCCAGTTCCAGCCAATCCGTTTCATGGTTGTTCGTAACCAAGCGGCACTTTGTTCCCTCTAGGCTAACTCAATCCAAGCGTGATTAGATTGAGTCGACATCGACTGACTGGCCTTCTGCATGTCTGAACCAGTCGTTTTCGTTCAACCGACCAGTTATTACCAAAGAGACCAGCCCAAACCCTATTCGTATATCAGTGGCTCGCTAGTCGAACAACCTCCTCGTGGTGCCAGCTGGGTGATTCGGGTTTAACGAGTTCCAGCTAATAGTTCGGCGGCAGTGTTCCATGACGTCGTGGATTTTTGCCTGGCCCGCGTTCTCCCTATAAAAAACCACAAATGTCTGCTTAACAACACTGCGACGTGGCGGTCGTGGCTCGCCACAGAATAAAGTTACTGCCCCGTGGATATCTGGATAATCCTTTCCAACCCACGGACACCGATCTTCTACTCGCACATTGCTGACGATAGCAAACATTCAAGAATGGAGCAGCAAAGTTACAATCGCAAACTACACAGCTACACAAACGCACACACAATTACATACTTACATACGCCCTGCACAAACAAGCACTGTTACGGTAAACATATCCTATTTTTGCACATTCTTGATCACGCAGTGTTTTCTCAAATTGATCATGCCTGTAAAGGCTTGTCTCACCTTGTCCAGAATAAAAGCTTTATTTATTTACTTATTTAAATATGTTTAAATACAGCGCATGCTCTTCCCATTAAAATAGCTTATGATCTGTGCTCATTGGTCTTGCGATGTTGAGCAAGACATTTGAGAGCAATTGTCGGTGAAAACTGACGAGTTTGATACTAGGGGGCACAAGTAGGTCCTAACGCTCATCGTTCTAACCATACACGTTGAAATAAGACTGCTTCGGTAGTTATGAGGTACAACTGCACTTTCATTAGCATGCATAGCTAACGCAAGTGCTCGCCCTACGTAGCGGCTAAGTCACTGACCTGAATGGTCCGGTTGGTGTGGTGCACATCGCGTTCTTCTTCACCATCTGTACGCCATTCGTTGCTTGGCACGTAGTCAGAGAAGTCCAGATATGGCATTGGAGTTGTTCCGGGACCGTCAGGGAGCCACCATGTGATATCCATCTGGGTCTTATCGTATGTCCATGAGCCAAACTCAAGCATGCATATCTGTGATGCGAACGGAATACAGTGTAGAGGATAGTCAAGATGAAAGCATCGCTTCATCAGACAGCATGGTATACAAAAGTGTCTAAGAACGGTGACGTAAAAACGCGTTTCAGAACACACTCAATCACTCAAATACGGTATAAGGATAGAGCAAGCGTGGCAAACGTAAGGTATCTGGAGTGATATTTCTAACCATTTGCACCTGTACTTCTCCTAGTTAGAGAAATCCAACGATTTATTTGTGGGATATGCCAAAAGCCCCACATAACCTCGAAGCCAGTCGTTTCTAAAGGTGAGTGGGCCAATCTGCAACAGTAGGACAGATACTGTGAGCTCATTGGCAATACGTGGCGAACCAAGCAGAAGTCATGTATTAAATTGCGCACCTGATCGTCAGCCTTCGGTAGCTCAGTGGTGGAGCAGCCGACCGGTAATCCGTGGGTCCGGGGTTCGATTCCCCGTCGAGGCAGATTATTGTGCGAAGTTTAATCGTGGCTTCTACTTTTCACCAAAATTACACAAATCACAAAATCCACATTTCTAGAAGTGTTAGACTTGTTGCTATCATTCTCGCCCCCCCCCACCAATCCGTTCTGAAGCTGAGATGGGTGGAAAGTCGACAACGTTAAACTAGGTCGCCAACTACTTGGTCTTCCGGTTATTTCAAATATCGTTGGACCAAAGCCGTCACATGCCTCTGTCGCAGCAGACTGTGTTCTGACAAATCGGCAGTGTCAGAGGAATTGGGTATTGGTGCACGGTCTCAAGAGTGATTCAGGCAGCAAGAGAGAATTCGCCCATTCTCTCTCTCTCTTCACCATGGGAAAATCTTTGCTCTCCCCCCAGTTATAGGCCAAAATAGCACAACACAATATACTCCAACGGACAAGAAAGGCACATCACATTCACGAATCGGTCGAAAAATATGCCTTAGTGTGAGGGAAATGGTTTAGATGCAGTGGAGTTTACAAACCTCAAAGTCAGCGGTTGAGGATTGATGGTCAGTTCAAAATGTAGATCCTTCCGTCGAATTTCAGTCGTGTGCTTTTATTTCCAATTTACGTTCCTATTCTTTGAAATAGCTAGAAATATTATGGATCAATCTCTGTTGCAACTAGACAGCGCAAATGAAACGGAAGTTAATACACAATCGAGAACTGGAGTTCCTTATCGAAGCTGTTAGGATTCTTTGCTCCATGGTGTATTTGCAGTTTCTATCTGAATGTAAGACACCAAAAGGAGTGTCGCAACACGATTACAAACTGGCAGCGGAACACACCTAGGCAGTTCGACAGCGCGTGCTAAAACTGGCACATCAATCTCAGACATAACGATGGGGAAAAGGAGCAGTATTCAAAGTAGGTCCGTCGGAACACACTCACCTGGGTGTCGAATGGGAAATATGTGATTTCGACTTCACAAGTGCTTTTGAACAATGCCTGTGGAATCCACAACGTGCTTCCGTCGCTATAGATGACCACACGAGCTTCACGGTGTTCCGTTAAACGCTCATCGGCACTGAAAAGGTAAACGCGTATTAGCTGCGTAATGACTAAAGTCAACATGCCGATGCAATCAGGCGACGTTATTCCGAAAATTTTGTTCACCACCTTTTAAAACTCAGTTGGAAACATTCAGGATATGAGTTAACCATAATTCTACCAACTATAATGCATGGGGATAGTGTGGTCTTTGCATCCACAATGTACAGACTAGACAACAGCACGTATTGCTCTGGTACAGTGACGAATGGGACAGCAACCCAGTCCTGTTTCTTCACTACCAAGATGACCTCGGTGCTGTTAGTTCGACCACCAGGAGTGGTGATCCTGCCTAGAGCCTTTACCTCGTCAATCGAGTGGCCTGTGTTAAAGCACTTTCATCAGCTCTCCAAGAGCGGTGGACACAGTTTGTTAGCGGAACAATAAAAATAAGGTATCCCTGTGTAGCTCTTCATGGTTGCAGACTTTCATTTTGCCATGGTGGTACACTTCGCTATCGCTAGTGGCTACTTGGAGTGGTTGTTCCTACCTTCAGATCGCAGTCAAACTCTGACGCTATCAATCTTAATTTACGTTCTTTGTATGCACCTGTTTGGTTCCACATTGGGTCAGTTCTACCTGGCTTCCATTGTCCGCACGCTTTCCGCAATCTGGTCGACTTTCACGATTGTGCGTTATGATATCCAACAAAGTGGTTACCCTATGTAAAAGAAAACTTGAATAATTGTCCCTAGTCGTTCGTGTCCTCAATACCGATAGTCGGCGAAAGCAGTCGCTGGGCAACGACACAATAGAATTATCGAACTAAACGACGGGACGTCAAACGGTATGGAATGTCCTAACGTTTATCGTTTGCGCCAGTCACACAGATGGTTACATCTGATCAATTACTGCTGGAGCGCAACATTATAACTTTTAAAACAAAATGGAATCCATAACGGAATCAAGCTTCTCCTTCAGAATATTCAACTGAATCCACAAGCACATCAAGTTGAATCTAAAGTGGCACACACACACAAATGCGTGCCCATCGTCTTGACCAATTGCAAATCAGTGCTAGAGTACTCAGAACATCTGCATCGGTTGGTGCAGCGGTTAGACTTTGCGCTCAGCCAACAAACCACGTGATGCACACGAGGACGTGAAAACAACACGTGAGCTCAGTCACCGTAGAATGCGATGCGGACTAGCACGCCGCATCTATGGATGGTTGAGGCAGTACTGCAAATACCACCCAATCACTTTCGCGGCGTCAAGACACACAACACAGAAATGGGGGCCGGAGATATTCCATCCGCGTTCATAGTGCTCACTGTTGCGTGCAGACGTCCGGACATGAAATGTGCTCCACAATGAGACAGTATCGATTGCCTTCACTGAAGGTAGCTGCATGCAAGCTAGCAGACAGGTCCGTCAACCTCACCTGGTTTGAACTATGCTTAGCGGTGTCTACGTGTGATCGATTGCGGATAATATTGTCTAGGTGAAAATGCGCTCGGGACTTCACTACGCCCTATCATGGAACAATGCGTTAGTAATCGGTGGGTGTGGCCGAATTACCTGTCAACTGTAGCTGATCGGCCTTAATGATGAGGTTAGCATCAGCATCTGCACAGCAATGCATGATGTACTGCAGTGAGCTTTGCGGAAGTGGACCGCGTAAATTGTGATAATGTTACCGGGTTGGCAACAGCTTGAATTTACTGATATCTATTTGCAATCGTTAGTATATTGCAGCCGTTGACAGAGTGAAGGAATACGTTTGTAAAGAACCGTCATGAGTTTGTGTGAAACGAAGATGAAACGATGATCTATGTTAACGTTGGCGTACTCCTCCACAAGGTATGGTGAAACACTGTTTGACTGAAGAGATTAACCTAGGGAGTGACCGAAACTTAAGTTGGTTGTAACAACCGAGAGTAAGACATTGCGCCGTATATTGTTCTAGCTCGGGTTTCAGTCGGAAGTAGGCACTCAAGAACATGGTGTTATCATTAGACCATCAATGTCCACTATTTTGTACATAATACTGGCAAACTCCAGTAACTGGCCGAAAGTTGGTATCAAGTGGATGGCACGTTTTGAAAATAAAAGTGGATAAGAAGAGGTAGTTTGTGAGGAATCTGAAATCGCTCACCATGGAGTGGCACATCGCCATTTCTTGACTGCTGTGTTTGCAAGAATGATTAGTTTCCAAACCGATATTTCGTCAACCGGCGGACAGAGATGAGACACAGCAGTACAATTCCGATCTCTGTGTTTCACAGATAAGGCCATGTGCACAGAGAAGGAATTTGGGAACGCCGCTTGCAAGTAGACAGTAATGTAATTGCTGAATAGTGGACACGCGAAACCGGTAGTGAAAGGCACGTTCACAATATGCTAAAACCACATTGAAAATATACGGCGGAACGGATTGCGACGATAAGAATATTATAGGTAGAAGGAACTTCCTTTTCCTTTCCGACGGCACTAATCAAAGAAAAACATTCGGGATCTGTTCAACAATGGTGTATCTGAAAGACACACCTCATAAATAAGATGACTAACTGCGTTCACAAATGTATTCACAATAACTGTGCATGTGTGTCTAGGAGATAAGCGAGCGAAATGCACACAACGCTGCTAGAACACCTGAGGCGCATGTCATGGAGGCGTCTAAGATACAACGGCGGCGACTCACGGGTTAGGTACGGTGCATGTAAGGTAGCCGGATTATCCGTGAGCCAAAGCGAGACGCTTCCAGATATCTTGCACGCCAAACCGACACACTTAACCTACTCCCGTTTGTTTCTGCATATGCTGACCGTATAACACATTGGAAAGATAAATATCTACATGTATTGCTCCAACGCAATAATAAGAAGTACTTGCGTTATTAGTCAGTACACTGGCTGCGCTACTGAAGTTATAAATGAATGGTCTATTCTCGGTAGAAGGAGGCACACAAGTGAAGGTATGACCAAATATACCTACAAACATAGCTGCTTTGGAACAGTAAAACGTGTTGTTAAAATAAAGTACAATCAAAATTGTCGTAGTTTACACAATTGAGAAGTTCGTCGGCTAATAGTGCGATCCAGGAACATTATGGTGCTGGTTTGCGAAAAAACCAATTTTATTACTATGATGGCAATAGCCAACGTTCGGCGTGATTTCACCATGTTGTAATCCATGGCTTCATGAGCACAGAAGCCGAAGCAAAATGTTGGTACAAGTGTTTCCGATTGAAAGTTGATGTACTGCTTGATAGAAAATTATCTGCAACAATAGTTATCGAGCAATGCTTAAATAAATAAATAAATAAATCTTTTATTCTCGACATTGCGAGACATGCCTTCATAGACATGATCATGGCGACGCAACAAGGACTGGTTAATGTAAAAGCGACACAAGCTTGTAAGTAACATATGGATCCATGTATTAAGTGGGCATGATTGTGTTGTGTTGTTGTATTGCATGCATTTGGAAATATAACGTGGTATTTGTGATTGTTTTCGGTCAGGTGTAGGAAGAAGAGAAATGAAATCTTCCTGTTGTATGACTCACGTTCGTGGATTTGGTTAGATCCTCCAGAAAAGTAAGAAGCAGTGAGTTCAGTGAGCGGCGAGTCACGTCCGCCACGTCACAGTGTTGTTAATCGGATATTTGTGGCATTTTATTGAAAAAATGCTTGCCAGGCGAAAACCCACTATGTCCTGAAACACTGTCGCCGAACTATTTGCTGGATGTGGGTAAACCCGAACCAACCAGCTGACACCACGAAGAGCTTGTTCGACTAGCTGGATGAATGTATTTTTCGTAGTAGATCTGGGCGCTGCATCAGCATGTCGTGAATTCGTTCGCAAGGATACACGGCACTCTTGTCTTCAGAACTGCATTTCACCATAAGTATCGCTTTTAGTGTTTAAGCGCTAAGCTGCGTTGTCCAGAATCTACTTCGATTCAATTTGCACAAATGTAGAGTGCTGCATCTGAGGCAAAGTTGGTTCATTCCTACAAACTCGGCAACCAGGAGCTTCAAACATCTTCTGGCGAGAAGTATGTAGGAGCTTTGTCCAGGTTGACCTTCGATGTTCGAATCAGACTGAAACGGCTTCAAGGAGGGGTATCCAAAACGTGGGCCTCCTGAAGCATGCACTCGGACGATTCGACCCTTCGATTTTTCCGCAACTTCTCGGCTCATACATACGGCCACATGTGGAATACGCAGTACAGGTTTGGCAGTTATGCTGAAGAGAAATCTCACCGACTTGGAGACACCCCAACGCCGGGCAACCAGAAACGTCAGGGTCTGTAAAATTTGCCGTATGAACGACGGCTTGGAGTGCTCGGGGTCTGCAGCGGACAATATCGGCGATTGCGCGGAAACCTCATTTTGGCTTATCATATTTTGAGAGATCCCATCCACCTGTGCCGCCATTTGCTAGAGCTAATTCACTAAGCACAATTTGAGAGGCCACTATATCAAGGAAGCACAGTAGCAAAGTCGTTTAGTATGCCGTCGGAAATGCTTTTCCGTATGAGTTTGCAGAACGTGTAATGCCCTACTGGAATCTGTCATATGTGCTCCCATGCTTGTGGAGTTCATATCTAGGGTTGATCTTGCAGTTATTTTGCTGCACCATCTTACATGACCCATTACCCATGGATAAACACAAGTGTCTGTTAGAGTTTTCACTACCGTTCAAAGCCTAGATTTCGTTTCCCGTTTTCCGCATTCTGCATGTGTACAGCAGAAAGAGACACGTTTTTCACCAACATCCAATTTGCCGTCGTTTCGCATGGATTTACCTTGGATGTACAGTCTGTACTGCGTATACATCAGTGAGTTCATTGTGTAAACCCTGTTTTGCTAATCATTTTTTATATTTCGAATTTTCACTATAACCATCCTACGGGACCTGTGATGCATTCGTTTTTTTACACGTATAGAACCAGTGTTCCATTGGCAATACGGGGATCATTTGTGAGATGATTCATCCAGTAAGTGCATTAGTCCCAGGTAGACGGAAAATAACTACTTTCCGTACTTCTTCCTATGGGACGGAGTTGGTCTGGAAATGGGAAAACACTTCTACCCACATTATATCAACCTATGTTTGTTTACAGTTCTAATCGAAAATTTTGTCCGCTGATGTAAACCTACACACGTTTTTATCTTCTTCAACCAGCTCGTTATCCTTGATTTCCAGGTCTGAGATTGCAAATCCAAAAAGACTGACGTTTGCTTCAACTTTCTCCCAGCACGGTGGTTGTTCCAATGCCATCCAATTAAAGTCACACAGTTCCTGAAATCGTTTCATTCTTTCCTGTAGATAATCGACGACATTGTCGTAGAAACTGGTGCTAATATTTATCAAAATGTTTTGCTGACGAGACCAGTTTGTTCGAGTCGGCCAATTCGAATCTTTACCTCGTTTGGAACAAAGCTGTCTCTGCTTTTGTCCCTGCAATTTTGCATGAGTTCGGGCATTGCAGACGACACTTCCAGTGCTGAAATATTTTGTTCGTCAAAAGTACAGTAGCGTGGAGAATGACGGATGTTGTATAGAAAGAAGGGTCACAGCTCAGGGTAGAGATTTTCAAAGAAATATTGTAATAATGTAGGACACTTCTGTCGAGACATAAATAGGAGATGGCAGTGTTCGTGGCCAAGACCGGTAATGTGACTACTGTACCACTCGTGCGGCAACGCACTGTTGCCGGAGGCTGGTATGCCACCTGCTGTCTGCCACAAATGCTGGAAGCTTTAGCCGGGCCTCGTCCAAGGACTCGAGCACGAGAGATTTTGCTGCACCATGACAATGCACCTGCACACAGGTCCCATGTCGTCTTAGGTTTTCTAGCTAGAGGACGTATCTAGGAGGTTGGTCATCCACCCTACAGTTCACACCTGGCTCCGTGTGACATTTTGTCTTCCCAAATGTCCAGCGCATGATACGTAGAATCCGTTACGAGTCTCCAGAAGCTGCAGTGGATACCTTTATTGAGTTGTTTGATGGGTCCCCCGCTTCCTCATGGTCTGGCTGCTCCAAATGGTTTGAGCACATGGAACTGTGCTGGTGAAGCGTACTTCGATAAAATGGAGTTGTAAAGACTTTTTGTGTACTTTAAAACAGTACTCTGGCCTAATCAGTCGACCGGTAGCCGATTAGTCGGCGCACCTGGTTTGCAACAATAAGCTCCCTGGTTCGAATCAGCTTAAGTGTGGGCGTTCCCGCGATATACGCAGTCTTCGTGCGACTGTTGGTAGTCGCGTAGCAGCGAAGCGCCGTTGCGGTGTACATCTGACATTATTTTTTATTATTAGTACCCTCGTATCATGGTTAAAAAGCATGAAAGAGCTGAGTTGCGGTTGGACTTCAGTTCAGTTATACAACTATGATCCGGGCACCGAAATGTGGTGGATCCACTTACTGCGACTCACAACACAAGAAAAACCATAGACAGCCACGACAAGATGGTGGGGTGGAACGCAAATAGAAGGTGAAGAAATCGGAAGCAAGAAGGTGCGTTACACCAAACAGAATGGAGCGAAAATTAACAATCATGTGCAGCAAACTGAATGCAGGAACACCACTGACTGCTCCATGTCTGACCCGGTGTCCAATCGTTGGTACGGATCATCCGAGGTCCCCATCCACGAAGACTGCATGCACCAGCCTGACCCATTCTCTCAGTCAATTTTTTCAGCCTTCTATGCCCTGTCATCGACTGGTCATCTCGAGGTTTCGCTCTCGTTGACGCAGTCACATCGGTGAAGTCTGTCAATGGAAATACGGAGGACATGGTCTAGCCAACGTAAGCGGTTAAGATTCAGCAAACACTCGAGGGAGACACCAGAAGGTTTCTTGTGAAAAACTAACTGGCGGACTTCAGCATTGCTCACCCGGTGTTCCTGCCGGACGTGAGTAAGACTCTGCAAGCACCGGTAGTCAAACACGGTCAAGCATTTATGTCTTCGCCGCGAACTATCCAGGTCTCTGATCCATACAGTAAGACCGGCCTTACCGAAGCGTTGTGCACCCTACCTTTCACTGACAGGCTGAAATGCCGCCGTCACCATAGATGCTTGTTTCTCTGGAAAACCACACGAGTCTTGCTGATACGCGAAGTGGCTTCTTAAGTGATGTGACCACCAGATGTGACACAGTTACCAAAGTAAGTTGGTGCCTACCATATCCAGCATGGGAGCCTCGGAATAGCCCACCTCGGGGCTGTAGATTTTAGCCAACATGTGTCACGCGTGTAAATCAAATCACTTCTTTGTCCGATCTCCTCCGTCTTAATTTTGGCTATTCCTGTCGACATTTAAATCATTTGTTCACACGACTTTTGCCTGCAAATTTGTTCGTGTTTTCTTTTCCAATATTTACTGTCGTTTCGTTTTGATACTGTCAGTAATCGCTTCCTGATATGCCGCGCTTCCACCCATCGATATTCATCATTTCATTTATCTGGAATTCTTGACTTTGGTGACCACGCCATACTTACGTCACTGGTTTGCATGTGAGAGGGAAACGTATATCGCCACATCGCAGTGGAGGTGCCCGCTCTTTTCACATTTGTCCGTTCCTCATATGTATTTATTTTTGGGAGTGATGGTTACCTTTCTACTTTTCTGAACCACTAAGCAGCCACGGGGTTATGCTGTTCTTCAACTCTTACCCGCATCCTGTGTTCCAAACTGGACTGAGCTCCTCTCCAGCCACATATAATGAGCCCACCTTTTTCCATTTCAGCTTCTTATGGATCCATGATTCTGTCAACCACCTCCACAGACTTGTCTTACTTAGCGGCTCTCTTGATCCTAATCTCCAATATTAGAAGAAAACGATCTTGTGCTGGTGCGTTTACCTTAGCGCCCTAATCTCATTTCCAGGATTTTCCGCTAAATCACACATTCTACTATTGATAACATTTATCATTCGTTTTGCCGATCGCTTTTATCCATTTTGTCCATTGGATTTACTGATCGAACTTGCACTGATATTTTTGCACTTTCGTGTCCTTTATTTGGCCTACTTCAAGTTCAGTAGGACATATTATTCGGAAATGGACTCGGCGAATGTTTATCTTCTCGCGCTTCTTTGCACTTGGCTACTCTTCTTTACACAATACACTTTCGATATCAAAGAAGTAAGTCCCTTTTTGTTCTCTGCAAGCTCTTCATCTTTGAATGAAGCTTTTCTGGTTCTTACAATGTCAAGTCTAACAATTGCGCTTCCTGATACCAGATAGGTCAAGATCTTTATGGCATAACTATCTTCTTTAGTAAAGTCTTCGTCTTCTGGTAATGGCGCTTTTTTATGCGGTTATCAGCCCAACTACAATAGCTTGCGTACTAGCACGTTCCTTGTAACTATCGCTTGTATCTGCTCCTGTTTGTAAATACCAATGATACCGATGCGTGCTCACAATATACTCTTTTGTAGGAGCTAATCTCACATTCTCTCCCTACCTAGTACTTCTATCATGTGTGAAATGTTCTAAACAGCTAAACAACTTAACCTATTGTTGTATCGAGCCCCACGACTCCTTCCATTTATTAACGGTAGTGGAAACACGACCAACCAAGAACAAGGGTTCAACATTTCTTTTGCATTGGGAAACGGTTTCGTTATATAACATGACACATCAACGTGGAGTCAACCTAAATACCGCGTGAGTACGGAGCGTGTTCGACGCCTTGTTTACGGCACAGGAAAAGGTAATGAACCGCTCAGCACCGTTATTTCCCGCATTAGGCTCCGATGGCTGGGCCACATGTTACACATGGCAGCCCACCGACTCCCGCGACGTGTGTTGTTTGCGGGCCGGGTGTGTGGATGGAAGAAGAGGAGGGGTGGCCAAGCGATGACTTGGTCCAGAAGATTGAAGGCCCTCACTTCGAAGCTGGTCTCAGTTGGAGCGTCTCGGCTCTTTGGTTGGGGTCCAAAAGACGGTGAACGCGTTTTACTGGATGCACTTGCTGATATGGCTAGGAGCCGACCTCATTGGCGTTCATGCTGGGAATTTCTTTGTCCCACCCCATCCCTCTTAGCCTCCCCCACCAACCACGAGCTCACCATTTAGCCTTATATAGTTTTGCATAGTAATTTTTTTAATACTTAGTAGCCGGCTGGTAACTTACCGGAACGATGCCCATCCGTTACCGGTATCTCAGCCGACTCGCACCAGTTACATTATTTTCTCCTTTTTTCTAGGTGTTGCGGCACAGTAGCTGAGGTGCTTCCCATCTCTAGCTTACGTGTATAGTATATATGTGTGTAGTGAGTTACATTATATTTTTTATTTTTACTTTTACTTTATGTATTGCGGCACAGTAGCTGAGGTGTTTCCCTCATCTAGCTAACATGTATGATGATGGTGATGATGACGATGATGATGATGACAACGATGACAATGATGATGATGATGATGATGATGATGATGATGATGATGATGATGATGATGATGATGATGATGAGGAGGAGGAGGAGGAGGAGGAGGAGGAGGAGGAGGAGGAGGAGGATGTTGTTGTCGAGAGTGAATCACCACAGCGTCACCAGGGTAAACATAATTAATAGTGTTCGGAGAAGTTCGGCACTAAACGGAAAGAATGCAAAGAATGGTGAGTAAGGTTACCTTGACACGGAATACAGTCGAACCTCCTGTATTGTCCACATTGGGATATCTCAAAAGTGGGCAATATAATAAAGCGAGTGGGCAATTAACCGATATTATCAATTTTCTTAAAACGTAAACAAACATTGCATTATTAGACAGTATATCACTTGAATTGTAGCCTGCTAAGAAGGATAAAATACGTACTTGTAACTAAAGCCTACAAATGAGCTTGACTTACACTTAACAATTGTAACATAAAGTATCTTACATATATAGCTATAGATACCGGTGCTACTGTATATTTTTGCTGAGAAAACAATCCAACTTCAGTTCTACATTATTTTGATCTGCTACTCCAGTCCCTTTTACACTGATGAAGTCCAACTTGGACAAGAAATCGTTGCCGAGCTCTTGAATGAGACACGCGCTGATTGCTGTTACTCACGGAGGCATCCGACACGTTATCCTCTGAGTCGCTGCCTTCTTTCTGTTCTATCCGGTTATCTAAAATATTACTGACGATTTCAACTTCAATAGTTGTCAGATCTGAGGTACCTTATTATCATTGTCAATGTCAACGAACTCTGCATTGATAACTGGAATTGTGCAAGCGCTGATCTAGTCCTCAGGGATGACGGCCTCGTCAGAAAGTGCATCGGATGCCAGTCGACTGAAGCCACCATGTCGAAAGCAAACTTTTATTGTTGCATCGGTAACCTATCTCCAATTTTTGTAACGAACTGAATTGCAGCGAGCACAGAATTCTTGGCGCTGGCATCCACCGCCGACGATGAGCCAGAAAATACGTTTTTGATATGATAAAGAATTCGGTCCACAATTACCCTTCTGTAACGGATTTTCAGATTTATAATCACCCCTTGGGTTGAAGAATGCGGGTCTTGTTTGCCGGCCAAAATTCCATTTGAATTTTTTTCAGACCTACCTGTAAATGTGCTGCGTGATTATCCAAGGGCAGCATAATTTTTGGCTACTTTGGTCTAGCTCCTTGTCCCATTCGAGGACCCACCCAATGAAAAGTTCATCTGTCTTTCACACATTTTTGTTAGCTCTGTAACTTATGGGAAGTGTGTCCACGTTCACGCCATTAAAACATCGTGCTTTCCTACTTTTTTCCAATCAAAATCATTTTTTTCCTTGCCTAACATGTTCGCACAGCACAGGAGTGATCCTATCCATGGCTTCTTTCGATTCGCTGGGCTTGTCGGCAGGAAAACACAAAGAACCCTTTGAAGTTGCTTGGTAGAAAAACCTGTTTCGTCTGCATTGTACATGTTGTTATCATGAAATGCACTTAAACGTATAGGCAGTCGATCTTTCAGCTAATTTTCAGACTGCTCTGTCCACGGAACTCTTCTCGCCATGCACACGTCTATACGCAATTTGATATCTATTCTTCCATCTTTGCAACCATCCTTCGGTGGCAGCAAAGGTTTTTCCAAGTCTTTCTCCGAATTCTTCTGCCTTTTCTTTTCAACAACTGTTGTGCCCACGAACCGATATCCTCCACTTTTTCAATGCAATTTCAATTTCTTCATCCTTTTCGTTGTCAAACAATCTGGCTAGGGTACGACGAGAAATGTGTAAATCACGCGACAACCCGGGCTGCGAGGTTCCTGGTAGATACGTTTTAATTTTATAAAAGGACAAATCCTTTCTGTTACCTACTATGCTTGTGTGTAACCAATAGATACTGACCGATGTGAAGCAGAAAGGTTATCAGACTTTGCTCAGTTCTCGAGTTTTGAATAAGGCCGAGGGATTGCCCACATCATCACCCTCAACAGCAGTACGTCAGCCATCTGAACTGATGCTTCGCTGCCATGCAACCATGACGACCTATGAAATAAAGAATAAGAAGAGGGAAAGAAGGGGGACTTACCTGAAAACCTTAATGCCCTAAGCAAACATTCAGGACCAAGGCGCTTACACCTTGTGTAGACAACATTCCGTCACAAACAGCTGACTATCATGCAAAGATAAGGTGGCATCGGCGAGACAGCTTCCTTGCGGCTTTCACTGCCCCGCGTCATAATCAGCCATTACCCCACAGATAACTCAGCATCAAACACACTTTAAACAGGCAATCCGATTAGGAGACGGCAGCAGACGCGCCACTGGTGTCGGTTGCGAGCCATGTTCCGTAAAGTATCGAGCCAAACACAAGGCGAGTCACGTGGACTCCAGCTCGGAAGGCGAGACGGACCAACGGCACCCAGTTTGGTCGTCAGTGACTTCATTTCCCGCTGCCAAGTCAACTTCTGTCCACCTCGAGCTTGCACCACTCTACTCCTGCTAGACTGAACAAGGCCCTCCTAGGTAAGCGGTGACCAGGCATGCGTAGCACATACCTGAGCCAAAGCAACTTATTCAGTGCTATCTGTTGTTCTAGGGAGCTAGCATGATTATCATTACCTAGTACTCGCCTACGTACCTCATCATTGCGGACACGCCGATGCCATTCGACACCTGCAATGCTTCGCAGACAACGATGGTCGAAGATTTGAAGGTGCCTCAGATCCTCAGACCGAAGGGGGCAAGTCTCACTACCATAGAGCAGAACGGCCTTCACTGTGGCCTTGTATGCATGGTCTTTCAGACGGAGGGAAACTCCTTTCTGTCGCCACAGATGCTGCAGGTTCAAAAAGGCAGCTCTGGACTTTGCAGTGCGTGAGCTGACGTCAGTTTCTATGCGCCCATCGTTTCTGATGCAGCTGCCGAGATTAGCGAATTGACCAACCACCTCTAGTTCCTCGTTAGCAAGCGTCAAGGGGTCATCAAGTGGCTGGTGGTCCTGCAGCAACACTTTGCACTTTGAAGATGTCAAGTGCATACCAAATAATGGGACCACTCTGGACAGGCTCTTCAGGGTTGATTGTGCCGCCACAAAATCGTGGAAAAGCAAGACGATATCGTCCGCGTAATCCAGATCAACTAACCTTTCACCAGGCAGCACTTCAACACTTACATCGTGAGATTCCGCAAAGGAATACTCCATACTAGAATCCACGTTGAAATTGAACAAAAGTGTGGAAAAACGACAACCCTGACGAACGCTACTTGTGGTCGGAAGCCTATCCGATAGGCCACCGTAGACGCTGAAGCCGCCTATAGTGTTCGAGTATAGAGCGCGAAGCATGTTCACATATTTCGTGAGGACGCCCTTTCCGCGCAAGTATTTCGTACAGAATCGATCAATCGACTGAATCGAACGCACTCTTGAAATGGAGAAACACAGCTACTGTCGGTCTGCGGTATGCGTGGCGCTGCTCTAGTACTTGCCGCAAAGTGAATATATGGTCTATACAGCCATGTCTTGAGCGGAAACCTGCCTGCTCTTCCCTAATCCGAGATTCCCGTTCCGCACTAAGGCGACGAACGAGAATCGAGGCCAATAATTTTGTCACAACTGGCGTTAGGCTAATACCCCTGTGGTTCGCGCAGTCTGTGCGACTGCCCTTCTTGCATATTACCACTATAATCGATTCGCTCCAATTAGCCGGGACGCTCGC